TTTTTCAAATATAGCACAAATATAGTACAAATTCACTTGTTAATGTTTTTCTTTTTTTCTAAGAACTTTAACCTTGACTTTTTACTTTCTTTTGAACTTCTAAGGGTTTTTTTTAGTTTCAGCCCCTTCATCCCACTGCACAGACTATTTTAGATCTAAGCTTTAATTAATAATCCCATAAACTATCAGCTTCTTCTCTTTTACCTTTAATAATTAAAATTATATATAATCCATAATGAATTGTTAAGAGTCATAAAGAACTTCTAGAATTAAAATGTAGTCTAGGCACTTAACTTGTGTATTAAACTGATAGCAGTAACATATAATGTGAATGTTCCCTAAGTGTTAATGAAATTAGGTATAAAACTTTTACCCATTTATAGTCTATAAAAATTGCTATGTATGAAATATACACGATATAGTTACCAAGTCTTCTTTTTCTAGGAATTTTTTTTACTAAATATTCAAGACTAAGAAAATCAAACATTGGTGTTGTATTAAAATAGAAAAGACTCACTTTGAAACAAGATTTTTGTCTTTAAAAGCTGATTAAAATGTTAATAAAATGTTAACTTTGAGATACAATGCTCTAAGGATGCTTATTTTCCACATATAGAGCTGTGGGTGGAATTTTGTTGGCAATAATTTTTGATCAGCATAAAGACTTTATTTTGAGTTCAGACCACTAGAAAAAAAAACATTCCAAACACTCCTTGCTTTCAAACTTCTAAGTTGATGGGCTTTTTTTTGAGGTAATAAATTTTTATTATTCATAATATTTAATCACAGCTGTGTTGGCCACTATTATTTTCCTTTCAGAGCTCCTTTATGACCTGGAACCCCTGGCAGGTATCTGTATCTCCTCTGCAAAAAGTGTCACTGGAAATGAGCACCTTGCAGGGAGGGGCTGTACTGAATAGGAGAACTTAATGTACTATTAACTTTATTTCCTTAGCAGAGAAGGACAGAGAGAGATGATGAATGATTCATTTATCACTGGAACAAGTCTAAATAAATCAGTCTCAGAGCTGTCTTTCCTGATCTCTCTCCAAGAAGTCTGCTTGGATTTTAAGGATTCAATTGTGGATGCTCTAACTCTGTAGAAAACTGGTTGCAATGCCACAGCCCAAGGGGGGAAAAAATTAAAAATGTATTTTAGTAGCTGACAGAATTTCACCTGTGTATGCTGTGGAGTTTAGTTGTTCCAAGTCAAGCTCACAAGGATAAAGTGCTGATAAAATAAGATGGAGATTTCCCATGAATAAGCCAAACCTGCCTGTGTGCAATGTGGCACCCAGTGAGCTGCTTTTTAGCCCACAGGGGGAATACTCACTTGTTCTGCTACTAAAGCAGTCAGTGTTGCCTGTGTTAAAATAGCAAATTCACTGAGTGATGTTGTCTGAGTGTATAGCACAAGGCACAGGTATTCTTTCTCTGCTTGCTCAGAGTGAGTAAAATGCAGCTGAGTTTCCTTGACTAAAACAAGAAGGAAGTTTAGTGGGTGTATTTTACTGCTATTCATTGCATAGAGGATTTAAGGCTGGAGTTGCCTTTAATTGGTGCTGCTCACAATGGAACTAAAAACCCAGGCTAGATCTCTAAATTGCATTAAAATGTATATCCAATTACTGTGTTATTTCTTCTTTGTCAAACAGCTTTGAGCTAGTAGATGCAGTTGTCTTACACAGTTACAACTTAACCAGCACTAAAAGCATTCAAAGGATGGTTAAGAACATTCCTGGGAACTGAGGCAGTTCTGCTTAAAGACTGTGGCTTGAAAGAGGGTGTTTGAAGGGCTTTGAAGCTTTTGAAAGCATTGTCATTCTTCCTGTCTGTTCTGCTCCTGTTCAGTACCTAAATACGGAGTTTTATTTGTTTTAACTTGTCAGTTTGACCCTCTCTTGAAACACAGCACTGAAATAAGCAGAGTAAAAGGGAGGAAAATTCTTTTCCTGCAATTGGCTTCATTCTGTTTTACTTGGGTTTGCGTTCAATATTTGAATTTCAATTTCATGTCACATTCTAATCAACCTAATTCTTCAAGTTTAACATTACAGATTTATTTTAAGATGAAAAAAATACCAATATACTCTCAATTTCATCAGTGTATTTCAAAGTTCAAGAACAAGATGAAAATCACACCTATTATTCTGTGCTTTATTTTTCTTCTAGTATTGGTCTGTGTTAAAGTGCAGAATGTGCTAATGAGAAATCACCTTAAAAACTTTATATTTGTGTGATTTAATGTCTTAAATTCTAATTTTCCTTTTAATTTTCATGCTTATCATATCACAGAAGTGAACCATTATAAATGGTTTTAAATAAATTGAAAGATTAAGTCCTTTATTTTTCATGACATGTCTCATTAGGATAGAATTTATTACTCAGATACTTGAAAAAAAATTATTCAAGTTTTGCATTTATAAATCATTTGTCCTGAGAAAAATCAAAAAACAAACTAAAATTAAAAGACCCCACCAAAACCAAAAGCAAAAAGTTGTCCCCTTTGAGTCACAGAAACTGTCAGTGCAGTTCTGGATAAATTTTTTCAGAATGAGATCTTTTGCTACATATTGTTGATAATGTTGATTTATATTTGTCTGTTATTTTTATACAGTTCTGTTAAATGAACTGTGTCATATCTTTGCAAGCATAAACAAAGTGAAATAAGGGATAGATATTGTTCTAAGTGGCATTTTTGTTCTGAGGGGATATCAACTATACAAACACTTTCTAAAGGTAATTTTTATAAATAATTTGATAACTCAGATATTCTAATGGTCAGTCAAACTGGAACAGATTATTGCCATCCTTAGAAGATGATGGTAGATAGTGGTGGATCTTGACATTTTTGGATCGTCAAAATCCAAAATTATTATATTGGATATATAATATTACACTGGACTGTTGAACTTCTACTAGTACCTTATAATATTTTTTCTAATATTTGCAGTTTCTTGATACAAAAGTACTACATCAAGGAAAAAAACCCAAAAACAATTAAACAAAAACACATAAAACCCAGCCCAATGGATTAAAAAAAAACCAAAAAAACAAAACCAATAAGCCAAAATCCAGATCAGTAAACCCATAATCATTAGAGGGCTAGAAACCCCCTTTTCTGAAATGGCTGTCACTGGGGGAAAAATAAATAAATCGATATTAAATGGTGATTGTGAACTTGTGATTGCGTATTCAGGTCAAAAATACGTGAGATGCAAAGAGATGCCTAAATCTTCTCATGGATGTCCCAGTTTGGAAAACTGTTCTTCAATTTACCTGAATACTGATGAGGAGAAAAATTTCCTCTGAGATGAGACAACTTCTGTTTAACCCTTGTGAATGCCAAATTAGGCAAATTTTTTCCTGTTGTCTAAGAATTCCTGAAGTTACAGGGGAAATATGAGGCCTTGGCTTTATGGACAAATCGCTGAACCCTGACCTACTACCTGGGTTTTCATGTTTCAAACAGACTTTGCTGCAAAGCCATGAATGTCAATAAAAAACCATTAGACTCTCAAAAGTAATAGCAAGGAAAAAACAAAAAAACTAACAAAAAAACCCTAACAAAACCAAAAAAAACTTAATGTACATGGAGTCACACTGTTTTGATATTTTGGTTGGCTTTTGTTGAAGACAAGCTATCTCACAGGAAGAGGGCAGGAAACTGATTTTCTCCACTATGTAGGAGGGCTGAGAAAAATGCAAAAAACCCCATTTCAGTCCTTTAGAAAATACCATTTCTTAGTCCAATGCTAGAAAATGTAGAATGCACTCCACAGAGCTTTTATTTCTGCATTACTGGTTTAGTTATTGCTGTTTCAACAGCTGATTTAGATAGAGATTCCAAAGTGTAGGTATTTAGTTTCTTTTCTAATACTGTGGAACCTCAGTGAAGCAATGGCATGTGTTCTTCTGCTTTCTCTGTTTTAGTTTTTCTTCTGTGATTGATCTTTTCAAAAAAATGAAAAAAAAATATAGTTTAGTGTAACCTCGTCTGCAATAATATCATGCATGAGGGATTGCTTTTGCATCATTAACTGAAGGTCAAAAATAGCCCAACAGTTCATAGCCATCTCTTTGTAAATAGCAAAAAATCAAGGAGAAAAGATCAGCCTTGAACTTCTGAATGATTTTATGTTCCAAACTTCTCTGTCCAATGGTGTGTGTCTGTGACACCTCTCATCATTTTTGCTGCAGAGACAGAAATGCTGCTTTTGTCTTGGGTGAACTCCATTCCATTCCATTCCATTCCATTCCATTCCATTCCAAGCAATGAATAATTCACAGATTATTTGCAACCCATAGCTAATAGATAAGGAAAAGACACTAAGAAGAAGATGCCTTTCTTTTTTTGCCTTTCTTTTCCCCGAAAAGAAAGGTAAAAAATATGCAAATATCCAAATAATAGCACATCATATTTTGAAGTTATGAGGTGGAAAAGTAAACAACTATTCAAGGCTGAATTTCTTGTTGTATAAACTTCCATGTTGGCCACAGATCCTGTGGGAAGCACTTGGTGCTAACAGTAAGCGAGAATATTTTTGGTCAGACGGTTTCACAGCTACAGAGTGACTTGGACACAGTGAATGAAACTTGTTTCTAAATACATGCTATGATGTGTTGCATAGTCCAACCAACTTTTTTCAATCTGTCTTCTGGCATAGAGATATTTGACCACTACTAGATTTCTGGAAAATTACTCATGCTTCAACAACCTTTAGCAAGGGGTTCTTGTTACACTGTGAATTTTGGTAGTGTTACTAGGTCCAGCTGGTCTTCTAAGGATGGAATTTGAATATGCTGAGGATGCTGCATGTTAAGCAGAAATTATAAATATTGTGGGAAAAATTGATTAATATTTTCTTTTTGTTTTTATTAAGAAATAGGCTTATTCCTGTCTCAATCTTTCTATGGCATAAATTCTGAAATACTGAAATAAACATTTATCATAGTTCATTTATTCAGTAACTTGAGATTTTGTTTTTTTTTTCTTTCAGTAACTCCTGGTGAAACTGTTGCTGTGGATACACAAACCAGGGTAACCAAGGAAACCACCACCTTCAAACCAGAAATGCCATCTTCTGTGCTTTTGGAGGTTCCAGCCTTGGCTGACTTCAATAAGGCATGGGCAGAACTCACTGACTGGCTTTCTCGACTGGATCGAGAGATAAAATCTCAGAGAGTGAAAGTAGGTGATCTTGATAACATCAACGACATGATCATCAAACAAAAGGTATGAGAAACACTGAGTTTTCAAGTTGAAAGCCTCATGATCTTTGTTCTGTATTAAATCCTTTCAACAAGGAGCACAGGAGAGATGATAGGCTGCAATACATGTAGTTGTCACTTCAGCTACTTTATCCCATGAACACAATTATTGGGTGAAATGTTTAGATAATTAATTGAGGAGAAAAGAAAAAGTACTTACTATTTTCTCTGGTATTTGAAGCAGATCTCTCTATGTTTCTGTTGCTTGTGCTGTAAGAGTATTCAAGCCAATGGCTGAAATATAAACTTCATGAGAATAAAAGAATTGCATAGTAAGCTCCAGGTTGCCAGGAAGAAGACGACCCTGTTTCACACCTTTTCTTATGTTGCTTCTTAATAACTTTCTGAGAGCCTTACATGCTGCCCAGTTTATCAAAGGCTCCTCAGTTGTCTTAACAAAAAGAGCAGCTCATTAATGCAATTGTTTTTTCAGCAAAACTGCATCACTGCATCACCTACCTTTGAAAACACAGAAAAACAAGGAAATAAATGTTTTTGGAGAAAAAAAGGCTAAATTTTAGCTACTCAGTAGCAATAAAAGTAATTTTGTATTATAGAGCTCTAAAGTAATTACCTGCCTTCTAGATTTAGCATTGTTCAATATAAAAGATTTGCCTTACCTGCACAAAACTTTTCAGTGCTAAATTTCCATTCAGTTCAATTCTAAACTGAGTTTAGGATTCCCAATTATAAGATTCTGTTGTTTTTTCTCATAATCTTCCTCCTCATAAAAAAAATCTGATTTATCGTAAGGAAGATATTGACATTCTTCTCTTTGCTTAAGCTAGAAATAGAGGGCAAAAATGTATCCATTTTATTGAGGCTCTGTACTGAGACATTTTAAAGAAAATATGCTGATGTCTCATGGGATTATTTTTGCTGGTTTTCTTTTACTTCCTTTTCCCCCCAGTGCTTTAAACTATTTTTGAGAAATTTGGCTGCCTTATCTTCTGTATGATGAACATGTTAGTTTCATCTTGATTAATGATGATTATATTTGCTAAGTAGAATTACATACTGCTTCATTATTAAAATATCCTTAAAATAGAATGGATAAAAGTGATAATTCCAGTGCCATCTGCACAGGGAATTAGGTTAAAATAGTCGTTATATCATTTGGGAAGGTTGATGGCCAACCTTTATCTTTTAGTGATTTGCAGTATAATTTTGGTTTTAAAATTTTATATTGTTAAATACTTTGTTCAGCATTATTCAGTTTTCTTACTTATACCTCACTTTAGCATTTTATTCTGGCAGGCAAAAGCCATAGTTTGCTTCCTTCTGCAGATGTGTTTTACTTAAATATGAGATCAAATTATTAACTCTTCAGAATTTCAGTTAATATTATGTATGTTTTAAAATTAACTGCTTTGAATTTTCATTTTATCTTAGTTCAGGGTAAAATATTTTAACACTACTGCAGTCTGTTCCTGGCTGGGTAGCCCTGTCTCTTTTTTTGATAGCATGCTGTGCTGGTAACAAAACCAGCAGGGAAACTCTTTTTTGTCATGCTTACTTCTCTAATTGGCTGTGCAACAGAATGTGACATTTAATATATTCTCTGATGAAATGGAAGAACCAAAGTCTATATATAGACTGCAGCTCTGTTAGCTGTCTCCCTCTTCTCCAATGATCATCTGAATATCACTTAATACATGGAAATGAATGCCATGAAATATTTCATTCTGCTTGTAAATCTATCACTGGATTATTAGTTGAGATTAGGATGGGCAATTTTTTCAAAGCTGACAAAAAAATTTTCAGGTTTCTAAAAAAAAAAAAACCAAAAAACCGACCCTTCTTTGTAATGAATGGAGTGTCTGCAGCAGTCTGTGAGCTGATGAAGTTGGACATGTGGGTATTTGACTAATTGGAAAAGTCATGCCAGATATGATCTAAGTTGGAAATCCAAAAGTAGTGCTTACCTCCCCTGATCTGTGCATTCCATAGAAGATTACAGGGATATTTTTCCTGTGGCTATAATTTAAAAGTCATTGGAAGTCACCACACTGCATCGTGGTTTATTCAGAGAGTTTATTGCATCTTTACAGGTACCTCAGTAAGATTTAATGAAAGTTCCATCCTTGTAGATTGACCTGATTTTTTAAAATCTGTTCTTAGACTTTAGGTGTAAAATACCATCTGAACACAGCCAAATACTTCCCTTATAAAAATGCATCATTACAGAAATAAATGCTTAAAGAAAGCTGTTTCACTATAAAACATCTCTAGCTACTCACCCAGAATTTAGAATGCTTCAAACAGCTCATCCTGTTGTTGTGTTATCAAACCCTTACTGGGTGTGGGTTTTGTTTCCATTTCATATTTCATTCAAAGCAGAGAGCCACATTTCTAATAGTAAATTGCAACGTCAGAGCAAACATTTTAAAAGGAAAGAAATCCCATATCCTGGCAGTGTACGTAACAGGCCATTTTCCAAATCATTCAGGTAAAAATGAGTGACCTGAGGTTGTCCTTTCTTTCACAGCAGCCTGTAATGTTGTTGAAGCTCCATCTCTGAGGTCATTGTGGTTAAGTTCTCTTCAATCTGATTGTATAAAGGATCACAGCCACTAACTTTGCCATAATTTTCCTCCATAAAAATTTAAGACACCATTAGCCCTCACTTGAACTTTGCTTGGAGCTGATCTCAGTGAATTGGCGCTCCTGTGTGAATAGCACATACACGGGTTAATTATAGGATAATAAAACTCAAAAAAGACAACTATTTTTAAAAAAGGCTTATTTTAGTGGCAGCTTCCCCTTAATGAAAGAAAAAATAGAAACTAAATTCTCCTAAGTGGTGCACATAATATATAGTAAAAGTAGTGTACTAAAAGAGTAGCATAATGATTGCTCATTTCTCATATCTATGGTAAATCTTTCAGTCAAATGCGTGGTATACTTCAAACAAGTGCATTACCTATTTTAGTCATCTATGATTGTGTATAAGTATTTAAACTCTATATAATTAAACTGAAAGATACTAAAAAGTGTGAGGTAAAGATATTTAATACTAGCATTAGTGTCATCTGTGTTTTCATTAAATGAAAATTATTATATTTTTCTCATCTGCTTGAAGATGCCTTGGCAGGCTGACAAGACTCATGTTTTTTCTTTAGATGAGAAATAATGCAAGTAAAGTTCATGGGAAAGTTCATGTCTGTATAATATGCCATGAGGTAGGGAGGTGAGGAACACAATGAACTGTGGTTTACCCAGTTTCTTCAATTCACTGTCCTTACTTCAAAACAATCAACATCATTTATATTTGAAGATCAGGTGGGGGTTCTTCATAAAAGAGAAAATTGTGATGAACAGGATGATGAACTCCAATTTGCTACATTTTAGAAAAATGGAAACCTTACTTAAGATGCCAACAAGCCTTTGCTCAGAAATTCTGCTTTGGCATTGTATTTTGCAACAGGAATAGATTTCTACTGAAAGTAGTGAATCATGGAGGCTGTGCAAAGCTTCAAGGTAATTAACAATGCTGTTCAAAGAGATCAGGTACTATAATCTCCTTAAATTTTGAATTATGTCCATGGATTTTGCCAAGGTATGCTGTCCATCCAAATTTTTTGAAACATACATAGTTGAAAGCGTGGCTTCTTTATTGCACTGGATGAACATAGATTTTAATTAGTAAAAGCTATTAAGTATTATATGAATGGGACTGCAATTTTTTATACCTGTTTTTACTCCTTGATTCTAAGAGTTGAATAGGTTGAATCATCACTTTTAGGTGCAGTAGAGGGGACTAATCTGAAAAAAAAGTATTTATTAGAATGAGACCAACCTAGTTACTGAGAATTTTATGCAAAGAAGAGGAAAAGATTCTTTCAGGACGGATGACTTGTGTCATCCCAGAGTAGTCAACCAAAAAGATGTAGTGAATTTATTTCTGTCTAATTAATTTGTCACTTATTCAAAGAAAGGTGGGTTTGATCATCTGTCAGTTGGAGAAGTAAACAAAACTAGAATGAGGAAATGTTTTCACTTTTAATTGTAATTGATTTTTCTATAGTTGAGAATCTTTTCCAGATGATGGATAGTAAAATAACAGTTAAGGAAAAATATTTGTTTATAAACTGCAGAAAAAAGAGTGGGCTTAACTTATGTTTCTCTTGTCTGAGTATTTTTTATCTATCCTTTCCCATGGTTACATGTCATGCATTTTATTATACAACTAAATGTGCATTTTCATGTAAAACCTTACAATTAATATCAACATACATCAGAAGAATGGGAAGTTTTCTGTCCAAACTGTGTTCCAACATCCATTTTTGTGGAAATATAAATATAGTTTTCCATACTTAAATCCTGTTATTACAGAAGCAACTGTTAGTTCCAAATTAAAATTTGCAGTTCTGCATTACTGGGTGTGAATCAGTGTACTCTAGATATGCCTGTATTGAATGAGAAGTTGTAGTTACAGACAGAGGCTTTTGCTCTGTCCATATAGCTGATGTTAGAAGTGTGAGTAGGCAAGGTGGAGTCTTCACCCTTTTGGCTGGTGTACTTTAAGGTCTACAGAACTTTGCAGAAGTTTCATTTTAGTGACAAATGCATGAAAAGATCCATGTATCCTCATATAATGTACTGTAAAAGACCATGACAGAAGATTTTACACTTGGATCTGAACATTTCCAGTTCCTGTGATGTACTTAAAGGGAAAATTTTGTTAGTCCAGAGTCCAAGTGTGGTGCCAGTAAGTTGAGAATTTACATTCACACTTTCTGAGTCAAACTTCAAGAGCACATTTCCCCATCCCTTGCTGTGTGCTGTCATGATGCTTTGAGGGTTGTTTTCAAATCTTGTAGGATCTTTCTTCCTATGAATACACAACTGCAGACATTCCTTGTGTCACTGTTGGACCAGGATAAACTATCCTGATAAAGCAGGGCTGGTGCTGAAACTGATTCTGCAGCATGTTGGATGGTTCACTGGCATTTTTGTGCATCC